TGTTTATTTTCTTTCTTTAAACTTAATTTTCCAAATAATAGTGGTTTTGGGGTGGAAGAAAACAGACTTGCTAAATAGTGTACTATAGTGTAACATAAATATAAAATAACTACTGGAAGAATTCCAGGTTCTCCTGACAGAGGAGTGATTTATAGAAGGTTACAGGAAACTTCATGTGACATATACTATTGGTATCGGTATCGGATTCGACCCGGAACTTGTTAGTTATTGGTATTATTTATTATGGGAAAACAAAAGGGCCTGGAATGGTGTAATTTTTTAACAACACCATTGTTCTATAATAGTTTTATATAAAGTTGAATTCTTTGATTACTCGTTTTTACGTCATGCCGGCTAACAAATTGGACCTCATTATTTTAGTAGTATAGATTTATTAATATATTTGGTTACCTCCCTTTACCACAAATATTTTTTTAATAAAAAAAAAAATGTAAATGAGTTTATCAAAGATAATAATAAAAATCTTGTCAAGTATTTATAAAAACTTATAGGTATTCAGAATGTCATAAAAACAAAAAGAAAAATTATGCATAAAATTGTTGCTTCAAATGAAAAATGTTATAAGAAATCCATATATGATGAAACTCAAGACACTATAAGTTATCTTTTCTATGATAGCACAATGTATAATAGATAGACAGTTCTGCAGTTTTACAGTATTAACGTAATTCCTGTTTTCCAAATACATTGTAATTTACTTTTACGACATATGATCTAGATTTGTTTAGACGGAGTTTTGTTCAAATGTAAAACCTCATCAAAGATACCAGGTATATAATTTGGTTCGCCAGACTCGCGTTTCGTCTGAATAAGACTCATGAGTGGCGCTCGAACCAAAACAGTTGGAAGCCCAGATTGAATACAAAGTTGAAGATCATACATGTAATTTTCTCTCAGACAGTCATCATATTTTGCCGAGCATGTGATATTATATGTTGTATGGAATGGAAATTAATGTTATGATAAAATATTCTTCGGAATTCATAAAAAGTTAAAAAGTTACTACTAACCTTCAGTAAATCATTTATGAAAATACTCCTGATTCACACAAACTCTGGTAAACAAAGTGATTCAGTCCTTATTTTCAGTCCATTTTCAAGCCAGAAAGGATTGTAACATGATTCCTTCAGGATTATTGTTGTAACATGATTCCTGCAGGATTATTGTTGTAACATGATTCCTGCAGGATTATTGTTGTAACATGATTCCTGCAGGATTATTGTTGTAACATGATTCCTGCAGGATTATTGTTGTAACATGATTCCTGCAGGATTATTGTTGTAACATGATTCCTGCAGGATAATTGTTGTAACATGATTCCTGCAGGATTATTGTTGTAACATGATTCCTGCAGGATTATTGTTGTAACATGATTCCTGCAGGATTATTGTTGTAACATGATTCCTGCAGGATTATTGTTATAACAATGTTATGAAATCGTCCGTTTGTTCATTGATAAATTATTAACAAACTAAAATTTCAACTCCCTCAGGCAAAGTTGAACGTAGATGGATTTGGCTATTTTTTTCAGGTCCTTTTTGAAAATATCGCTCTTTAACTATTTCGATTCTGTAACATCCTTGACTTTCAAATATTCGGCTTTGATCGTTCCTGATGACGGTAAATCCAGAAGAGCGCTTCGAACGCATCAAATTTATGAAGTGGTGTTTTCATTTTCTATAGTATTGGGTCGATACCGCTGGTGGACTATCAATCCCCGATGGTATCACCAGCTTAGTAGTTACATGCTTAATAAAATACCATCCTAAATATGTCCGTTTATAGATTAATAAGTTATCAAGAAAATAAGGTTTCAGCAACCTTCGGGCAACGTTGACCTAATATGGATTTGGCTATTATTCTTAGGTCCTTTTTGGTTATATAGCTCTTCAACTGTGTTAAATTCTATTCATAATACTATTATTCGGCTTTATGCGTTCCCGATGAAGATAAATACAGAAAAGCGCCTCGGACACAAATATTTATAAAGTGTTGTTTTCATTTTTAAGGATATTCCAATTAATAAAATTGTCTTTCCATAAGCTGTTAAATTTGGAAATAATCTTTTCGTTACCACCAAGAGCCATCGGCTATATTTGGTCTATACTAATCAATTAAGATTGTAATCCATGGGGATATATTCAGAAAGTCCAGAAATTTATTAATGCATGCCATCGTTAATGAAAACTCGAAGAAACCCTCTATATGAGGCATTTGTAACCCTTTCTCACACTAACCTAGCAGAACATATTTTAACTGCAACAAATTCACAGAAAACTAAAGAAAATATTATGAATTTGACTTATCAATATCAACAGACATGTTTGGTAGAACTGTCAATGACTGGATTATAATACTTCCTTGATAGAGGGTTGCTGCTCACAAGGAAGCTATTAAACCAAGGGTTCTAAGTGATGAAGTTGAAGTCATCCCTTCGTAAATTTTACGGACGCCATCACGAGTTGGTTGACCGTTATGGAATATCCGTTTCACAGATGATAACGGATATGTTCAAATTGTCGTAACTACTATCCCGTCCTCCTTTCCCCGAATGTGACCTACCGAATTAGACTTATTACCGGGTTTGTACTAACATGAGCAACACGACGGGTGCCACATAATTTATGGAGCAAGATCCACATACCCTTCCGGAGCACCTGAGATCACCCCCAGTTTTTGGTGGGGTTCGTGTTGCTCAGTCTTTAGTTTTCTATGTTGTGTTTTGTGTACTGTTGTTTGTCTGTTGGTCTTTTTCTTTTTTCGCCATGGCGTTGTCAGTTTATTTTTGACTTATGAGTTTGAATGTCCCTTTGGTATCTTTTGCGTCTCTTTTAGCACTAATGACTTCATATCAGTAATTTCCACCATATAAGTTACATCTCTTTATACCCATGAGTTAAGAAAACTGTGCATTTATGTGTGCACAAATATGATATGCAACAACAAATGACTACCACTTAATTACAAGATCCTAACTTGGGACAGACATATATAGAATGTGGCTGTTTTAAACCAGTTTTCAGGCACCAAACACTTCTTTTAATCTTTTACAGTGGTGTCACACCACAACATAAGAACACCGCCTAGCATTGCGTGAACACCTTATCCCCCCTCTAACTAAAGCTGATAAAAATCAGCTTTCGTTTGGGAAGTGTTACCTTCTCGTTGGTATTAATTAATAACGATTAATCACAGCACACAAAGTATATTTCAGTGTACAGGAATGATCATCTACTCATCTCAAGAGTATAAGAATATGATGCTGTTCTATTTTAAGAAGCATATAATCAGTATGAATTTATATTTCGATATGTCTACCTATGTGTAGTGATAACTGCAAATTATACCTTGTCCATCAAAGATGTATATATATATATATATATATATATAAGTCTTAATTGAAAACAACGTTCAAACCTATGATTGCGTTGGATAAAAACCGCAATTTTTATACGTGTGCATAAAACAAATTTCTTTGTAGAGGAGTTTGAATACAGCACAAACAACATTTTCCAAAAGACCAAAAAAGTGAAAAAGTATATTTTAACAAAACGCTTTTGACTAACAGGTCGAACAACTGATGTTCTTAAACCCTGCTGACTGCCATTGGCGATTGCCAAATAAATTGATCACTAGTTTAAGTCTAAATTGAAAACAACGTTCAAACCTATGATTGTGTTGGATAAAAACCGCAATTTTTATACGTGTGTATGCAAAACAAATTTCTTGGTAGAGGGGTCTAAATACAGCACAAACAACATTTTCCAAAAGACCAAAAAAGTGAAAAAGTATATTTTAACAAATGCATTTGACTAGCAGGTCGAACAACGGATGTTCTTAAACCCTGCTGACTGCCATGGCGATTGCCAAATAAACGGATCACCAGATGTAACAAAATGGATCTTAATTATAAATTTAATACCAAACAGAAAACAATAAACTTGCGGAATAGATGGTATACCGCAAACATGAGGTGCAAAAATTTGTACACCATATCCGGATTTCGACAGTTAATGTCTCTTCAGTGATGTTAGGAATCGAAACGGTATTTGGAAGGCCAGTTAATTTACCTCAATTTAGGATTGACTCTTGAATTTTGAAGAGTCGAAATAGGATGAACAGATCATATAAACCCGAAGGCAAATATAATACAAGCCGAAACGAAAAAAATATAAACAAGTCTAAATTGAAAACAACGTTCAAACCTAAGATTGCGTTGGATAAAAACCGCAATTTTTATACGTGTGCATGCAAAACAAATTTCTTGGTAGAGGGGTCTAAATACAGCACAAACAACATTTCCAAAAGACCAAAAAAAGTGAAAAAGTATATTTTAACAAACGCATTTGACTAGCAGGTCGAACAACGGATGTTCTTAAACCCTGCTGACTGCCATGGCGATTGCCAAATAAACGGATCACCAGATGTAACAAAATGGATCTTAACAAATAATTTAATACCAAACAGAAAACAATAGAACTTGCGGAAAAGATGGTATACCGCAAAAATGAGGTGCAAATATTTGTACACCATATCCGGATTTCGACAAATAATGTCTCTTCAGTAATGTTAGGAATCCAAACGGTATTTGGAAGGCCATATATATATATATACGTCTAAACATGTGACAACTTTATGACAGGCATTCTCCATCGGATAACACGTGGTTATACAGGACTAACACCATAATATATATAAAACTCGTCTCAAATTTAGCCCAACAATGTTAGATCTTCAAATTTGTGTTAGCAAATTTTTGTTCTTCCCTCAGCGGGATTCGAACCCTTGTGTCTGTGACATCGTGGCAACACCGCCTGCACCGTGTCCAGCGCCATATATATATATGAAAAGTTCACAATGGGAAATTTCGTCGTTAAGTTTTGTTGTAACTCATTGCCAATTCTAAGTTTAGGTCAAAACATTAAACAAACCGATATGCATCAACGATGGAAATTTTTATAATTCAAAGTGTTGTACATAGATAAAATATAATATTGGAATATAAGAACATCTATTTTTTTTCTGATATATATATATATATATATATATAGCGATTATTTATAGTTTTGTGTCATCGTTTTCCACATTTAGTGGAATTTTCAGTATTTGTTCAACAATTGCGGATGTTTCATCTTGCTGTATTTGAGCTGTAGGATCACAATCCCCTTTGTCCAAATCTGTTTCAACCTTGTCATATGTAAGTTTCGTACCAACATAGGGTTTAGTATGCTTCTTTTTACTTGAATGGCGTGTCCTCCTGTTTTTGTCGTTTTTTTCGTTGCCGATGTTTTTCTTTTCTTCATCGTCATCATACCTATGTGTCTTGTCTCCATCATCATGTTGTCCGTACTTTTCTTTTTCAATAGCCAGTTCTTCAAATTTTTCGCCATGCTTGTTTTTGCTTTTATGTTTGCGTTTACTAGAGAGTTTTTTATTATCTTTACCCACTGCCTGGTCAGAAGAAGTTGTATTTTCTTTCGGCAATCCTGTGCAGACTTCACCGCCTATACAATATCCAACAGCCCCTTGTCCGGTTGCTTCGTTCGGTATTTCTCCTTTCGTTGTATTCAAATCTTTGAGAGACATTGAACTGTCTCCTTCCATATGTTTCGTTCCACTACGATTTTGTTTCTTTCGCTTACTAGACGGTTTTCGAGGTTTTTGTCTTTTATCATCATATCCCCCCTTTTCGTTGTCTACGTCTTTCTTTTCTGTATATGGAGAACTTGCGCCATATTTTGCTGTGTAAATTTCATCATCTGATTTTGCATAAGCCTCATTGCCATGTTCGGGTTGATGACGTCTGCTCGAACGTTTAGATGTCGTTTTGTTATTAGCTTTGTAATCTGTGTCATCATCATTTTCAGCTTCAGATGGTAATAATATTTCTTCTTCTCTTGGTCGTGTACTTGATGACCCATGAAGAGGAATGGATCCTTTATAATCACTTGACTCTCTGTCTGGACCAATAATATTTATCGTAGGTAATCCTTCGTGTGCGATCTCCGTTACGTTTTTTCCATCGACAATTTGTGAAGTCACTTTATGTTTTTTCTTAATTTTCTTTTTACCGAATGCTTCACGACTAGGAGGACGGTCTTCCTCACTTCCCCTATTTGACCTAGAACCTTTTGTGAGCAAATAAATTTCAAGATCGCTATCATCAATCTGACCACTCTCCAAACTATAGCAACTAGATTTCCTGGATACATCACTATCATAACCAGAATAAGTTTGTAAGTTTCTGAATAAAATGTCTTTAAGAGGAGTATCTGAACTTACGATTTTTGGAGGTGGATGAACAAATTTGTCTTTGTTGTCATCATCGTCATATATCGTTTTAAAGGTATACTCAGAAGACGGTGGAATAACCATGGGTTGTTTTAAAGGTTCCATTTTCATTGATTTATTAGTATCGTCATCGCTGTCTACAGGTATTATCGGTTTTGGTGGAGGATGTTCTATGTTTGTTCCGACATATAAGACGGAAAATTTACCTTTTAACCCAAGTGGTTCTGGTAACTGGCTTTGCTGTTTGGACATTTGATTATTGAAGCCATCTATTAATTGCTGTCTTTGATAGACAGTCAGGGCGGTAGGACAAGGAGCTATATTCGCAGTTGAAGCTTTTTCGTCTTTTTGTTTGATCGTATGACACCCATCAACAATATAACATGGGCAGGCGAAAGTAACAAAACCAAGACTAACAACTGCAATATACCATCCAGTAGTTATAGTTTCTGTTTCTTTGTCACGTGTGTTGTTAAATACAACAACAGCGACAATCAAGCAAATCGCTGTAAACAGAAATATGTTTATTGTAATAAAATAGCTGGAAAATTAAAAACCAATAATTAAACACATATGCAAATATATATATACATATATATTAAAATAAATGTATATTCTTTGGTAAATCAATAAATAACTCTGATACACTTTAAAATTTTGTCTTTTTAAATGTTTATATATTTGAGAAAAGACCAGGTAAGCATTTTAAAATTCAATTACAAGTTCATTGTCTTATTATTATGACTATTTTTGAAATTTTTTCCATGGTAACATTATCAAATTTGACAAATATTGTTTTAATTTCAAAGTGCTCGAATCAAAAATTATATTTCATGGCGCTCGGAACAAAATCTATATTTATTCAAAGCGCGACATATAACATCTGTATGTACTCTCGGCACTCGATACAACATCATCTCATTGTATTCACGGCGCTCGATACCACAACTTCTCTTTATATTCACAGGACTCGATATAACAACTTCTTTTTGTATTCACGGCGCTCAATACAACATATCAATTTCACGGCTCCCGCGACAACATCTCCATTTCACGACACTCGAACCATCATTTCCATTGACTTAAAGCGCTCTATATACCATAGCTGCTTATTCACATTTTCTCGGTGTAGCATTTCAAATCACGGCGCTCGCCACAGCATTTTCATTAAACGGGACTGGACACAATATCTCCAATGATATTAGCAGGATAACGTAACAAGGAAACGGTTATATCGCTTGAAAAATTAAGTAAATGACAATCATTTAGTTGTTTGGGGATCAAATTTTTATTTGTTTATTATTTGTCTGCCTTTCCAAAGAAGAGAACAATCAGTTGATGTTTTTGAAATCAAGTTGCGATTATCTTGTCCGTAAATATCAATCTTGTCGAACGTGATTCATACTGTACTAGTACTATGTTGATCAAAAACATATAAAAGTGGCTTTTAAATGTATAAGTTAATAAATACAAGGTTTAAGAAATTCATTATCACAAGTAAACATACGAGCCTTTTCTATATGAACAAACCTTAAATCGTCACCATAATTTTTTTTAAACAAAATAACTAGGGATAGTTGGTAGCTTTAGCCAAAATATCCATTAATCAAGACATTAAGGAGTAGTAGCACCATTGTTTTTTTCTCTATAAGTCTTTGTTAAATTTGCATTTTTCAAAACATTGTGCAGAATTTATTTTTGTTTCAAATATAGAAATGCTTGACATGAGTAATATTATTTTCTCCTGTTCAGTACTACAGTCAAAATTTCATTGCATATAAGATAATGAACATCACTGAAAGTTAACCAATCGAATTGTCACCCTTATATTCCTGGTTACAAGTGTTAGTAACCATGTCATCTCAAGTTTTCAAAATATTTTATATAAACACCAAATAAAAAAAAAAGAATGGTGCTTTGAATCACCCAAGATATATGTTTATGACTCAGAATTTTTTTTTTTCGATGAAATGCAGGGTTAATTTCCTACAACTGTCAAATCGATGGGAACATTTTTTTTCGACCCTTTTCGGTATGAAACCGGGTGTGAAGTACCATGTGTTGGTGGTATTACACCTTACCCATTACCTGTTAGAAAGGCAAATGATGCAGCAGCAAACTTGATCACTCTTATTTTTTTCAAGTCACGTGTCCAGAAGAACGTCATAGAGGCTAAGACAACACTAATGAAGTACAAAGAAAACCCTAGGCCCATAAACACTTGTGAAATCTTGTAACTCCCTGAAATGTATAAAAAAATATGATCACGTTCTTCATTAAATTCAATCAGCTTTATCACTACTTTTGTGTTAAGGTATTCGTTAGGACTGATTGACAGGAGTAATTCCAGCAGCGAATACACATTCTGGTCTTGTTATCAACTACATATTTTCCTGTTGTTCCATAAGTTTGTGAATGTCTTTATGTTTGATAGTTTAAGTCGTAAATCATTTGTCTGGTAATTCTTAATTTCGGGATAATATTATGATCTATAGAATTGATTTTTATTATTAAATATTATTTTTTTCCATTGCATTCAACAGTAACTTAATATATAACTTTTTGATTATCACAATCAAACTGAAAAATCAAACGTATGTTGCTCAACTCTTTCAGTATTAAATGATTCTTAATAGTTTAACTTTCTATCAAGATTCTGTATTGTGTACATTAATAAATTGCCACTAAGCATACGGCAAACAGGATACACTTCTTTCTTTCTTTTACTTCCGTTAGTCAATTTCTTGTTGTATGTGTTAAAATTATATGTTCGTTTTCTATGTTATCTCCTTTATTTCATACAGTGGTAGTTCGTTTGAAGTACTTTTCAATAGGTTTATGACAAATCATAACTAAACGGGCTATTGAGTATAGATAAATTATTTTCCCACAAGAATATGATAAGAGGAAAATTAATCGAAGAGAGATGTGCCTAAATCTGTAGTGCAAAGTAACAGATTTTTGGTGGGGTTCGTGTTGCTCAGTCTTTGGTTTTCTATGTTATGTTTTGTGTACTGTGGTTTGTCTGTTTGTCTTTTTTAGCCATAGCGTTGTCAGTTTAATTTTTGACTTATGAGTTTGAATGTCCCTTTGGTATCCTTCGCCTCTCTTTTTCATTCGAGCTCAAAATAGTCACTTTAAAGGAATACATATCTAAAAAGTCGTAATAAATTCCATTGAGCACCAAACTAATTCGAATACGATTTCGCTTATTTGGATATTTAGAAAAATATTTTGTTCTATGGCCGAAATTATTTTAAAAAAAATTTATCTAGTTTTATTCTGAAACACTGATTTAAGAATTTCAGTGTACACAATTTAATCATGAAATGTTCCCAGTTTAAGGAATGCGAAACACTTTCTATTTCATATTTTGAAACGGAGAACTTAAGAAAACTTGTTCATTGATCAACTATGACGTAATTGCAAGCCAAGTGGCGGATTAAAAGGGGTGTAAAGAGTTCTTGATTGGAATATATAACTTTTTTTTAGCATAAAATCGTTATTTTGTTTTCGCCCCGCTGCGCCCGGTGGTATTTCTTCTATTAATGGAATTACGATCCTTTCAAAAAAAAAAAAAATTATCCGCCCCTAAAGGTAACAGTACATTTGAACTGTGTAGTATATCTGATGTAGGTAATGCACATCTTATCTGCGCATTATCAAGTTTATAGCACAGTTAGAACAAAGAGATTCTGCCTATACCATGTGTTAACAATATATTGTCTTTTTACAAACAAAGCATATCATCGTCATTTTTTTTTGTATTTTTCCTTTGATAATTTTTTGTGATAATTTTTCATATCATGATCTCTAAAAACTAAGGGCGCACGTGCCGTTGTCAATGTAAACATCAACGACGTCATAGGAAAAATAACGATAAACAGATTATCAATCCATGATAGTCTTTCGATCTCAGGTATGTTTTTCGGTCGCATCTCATCTCATGGATGTCGCCCTCGTTTGAAAAACCATCGATAATCTATTATTCTCTTATGTTTGTGACCTGTTAGCTATTTCTTGCATGAAACAAATATTTCTTGTATTAAACTGGACGGAGTGTGATACGAAAACTGCATAAATTTGATTGGCTTATCCAGTATCATGAGAAGATATTACGACGTTTCCATTGGCTATTAGTTAGGTCATTGACGACTTGTAATGAAGAGACGATCAGCCGGATAGCAAATCTCATAATGGTGGCGATTTTATTATTCAGGTCACGTGATTTTCAGTTCAAAAAATGACATTTTGTTATCACGACAATGACGGCACGACATCGACGGCGTAAAGACATTTTGTGTATTTGCCATGTTCAACCAAACATTATTGGATACGGCAGGTTCCAAACTTTTACTACGTTATTCTTTTTAGAATGAAAATGTCTTATATCTTTGATTATTTTGATTGGGTAAGATTGAAAAACGTGCCGCGGCAGTGACACTTGTCAGTACATAAATTGAAATTGAAATGACACACGGATTGGTAACGAATTTTCATTAAGAAGGATGATACTTCCTGATAATATGAACATGAAATACTTGTTTCTTGTATTGTAAAATCCATATTTGGTCGAATTATTCCAAACTGTTTTCTTATTATCATTTAGAAATAATGGATATTGTTTCAGCCTATTTTGTCATACTCTGATAGAAATAATTGTTTCAATGCATACATTTCCTTAGAAGAATCAAGTATTATCCTTGAATATACACAAATACTTCATATTGATTCATCGTTCAATGATTACATGTAAGAAACAATTTTTTTTGGTAGATCTATATGAAAAAAATATTCTATAAAGCTTATAGGTATGAAATTTACATGTTTTATATATTCAATTCTATTCTATTCTAGTGTAAACATGTTAGAAAATTTTTATTTAGACCCATTGTCAGATATATCTGTGAGCTTATTTGTTTGCACTCTAAATGGAAATGCCTGTACCAAGTTAGGAATATGACAGTTATTTTCCATTCGTTTGATGTGTTCGAGATTTTTTGCCATTTGATAAAGCACATTCCGTTTTGAATTTTCCTTGGAGTTCGGTATTTCTGTTATTTTATATATATATATATATATATATATATGTAATAGTAAAATTAAGATTATTTATCTGAGGTCTAATGATGAACACTGAAATGTAACAACTCCTGGTCACTGGCATATGATGTCCATGACATCGTTTATTACAAATGGAAATATTAAGGTACTCTATAAAAAAAACTTCCCAATCATGAAATATGTAATTTATATGTGTATGTAGGTAGCAACATTACAAGGTAATATAAATTGATAAAAAATAATAAACAATAAATCAAAAATATAATCAATGAATTATTTGAAGACAGAGTGAAAAGTAAAATATGTTCTTTATGTCATTCCTCTCATATTACTTATTACTGTAAAAGGAAGCTTGTCTATGATAGGTTAAAGAAATTAATGACAGAATTCTTTGAAGATTTTTTTGCAGAGGGTTTTTCATTCTAAATATATTTTAACCTTTGGCTCGACGGTGATTGCAAACCTGTCACTTCTTTCTTAAGTGCTGTCTCATTTCAGGAAATTTAACCCAAAAAAAAAACGTTTACAAAATGTTGTCATTTCTGTGTTTAGTTATTCAGAATTTGTCAGGACTTAAAGGAGATACAGAGCTTGACATCTGACATCTACAGTTCGTTTCTATGTTTGTTTGCGTTTGCTTTTGTTGTAGTTCAGTGTTTCTGTTGTTCCGTTGTTTTCCTCTTATGGTTGAAGTGTTTCCCTCGGTTTAAGTTTGTTATCCGGATTTGTTTTTGCTTAATCGAATTATGACTATTAAACAGCGGTATACCACTGTTGCCTTTATAGATAGACATCTATTATTCACAGTTTCCCTTAACTTGTCATGCCTGTTTTTAACAAGATATGTTAAATCTTTAAGGTTTCAACAGAAAGTAGAAACTTCAACTCTTATTATTAAATAAAACCACCAGTCCCTTAATTGTTGAAAAAATCACACTTTAAGGCTCCAACAGAAATGTCAAATTACTTCAGAGAATATGTGTACATACATATGCAATAACAGTTATAGATTGATAATGCCATGAGTGTCAGGGTGTATTCTGGGTGTGACCACTACTATTACAAGTATTTGTTAACTTAAAATCATATCCGCAATCATGTATGTCAAATAACTTAATATTGCAAAACATACAACATATATCATAAAGTAGAATGCCAATATACTGTAAATAATCTCTTTCCACTAATGTTATGAAATTTTGTATCTTTCAATGGATATAAATGTAATCAAATTAAAAAAAATCACAACATGCAAAATAATTATATAATGGGTATTAAAACTTTTTAAAGTCTAAATTGTATCACCAGAGACAAATCAAACCATACCTGGTAACACACACATACATATTTGAAATAATGAAGAATTATCAATAAAAAATATGACACCATGTTGACCTAATATATAATTCCTCATTAAATTCATGTGAATGCAGCTAAACCAATGTAAACATTAAAAGGACTTAATCATTACAAAAATAGGGATTCATTTACGAAAACTGGGTGTAGATTGAACATCATTTGAAGGATTGCTAAAAGAAGATGAACAAGGAATGAGCACACACAATTATATTATGATGCGATATCATCTTTATTCTTTTGTAATTACATCTGTAAGCCACAAAGTAAAGATCTAACTCTGTGCAAATTCGTTTATCTCTGTCTTTTAGTTACGACATTTCAGATCTAAAGATGTTTCTACTAGAGTCATGTCATCCAGAACAAATTCTGACATGCTAACAGATCACAATAGTTTACAACTGGAATTCACTGATTTACGGATATGATTGGGAGAAATGGTATGATTGCCAATGAGACAACGATTCACTAAAGACCAAACGAAATGGATGTAAGAGTCGTGCGGTCTTTAACAATGCATATTTAGCATATTAAAAAAAGGAAAATTACTATACATACTGTCAAATTTCTGTTCACATTTGAAAATCGAAAAACATATATGCCATTAAGATAAATTTTTTGTTATAAAAATTATGTAAATTCACGATATTCAAGAAACTTACCATCACCGTTGGAATCTATAATTCTGCCACAAGAAATGCCACCTTCATGTTGATAGATGCACATAAATAATAGCCCGTATTGTCCAGAAATCGAGGAGGTCTCAAATATTACCCAGTAAGGTAGCACTATCGACAGAAAACACAGAATAAAGCCAACAA